TACTGACAATGCTGGGTTTTGAGTCCAGATATACCTCATTCCAAAGATCAAGTTCTAAAAAGAAAGTGAAAAATAAAAGCTACCAGGATAGTGTAAACAGGTTGCTATCATCTACTATCCAAAAGGTTGGACGTTCAAATGCACTCGGGAACACCGTGAAGGAAAGACCTGGCAATCTATTCCCTGGAGACTTTCAGCATTGAAAACTCTTTGAAGCACCGTTCTACTCCAATGCACACGGGATCGCCATCAGTTAGAACAGACTCAACGACAACAGGTTGAGGGTTAGGTTTTGGTGGTGGTGTTATTGTTTGGGGGACATTTTTTTTAAATTCTACCAGGCACTGTGCAGGTCAAGGCAAGGATGGCAAGACTTTGTCTTACAGACTTTGGACATGTTGTCAGGAGAGACCAGTCCCTGGAGAAGGACACAGTGGCTACATCAGTGACTCAGGCAGAGAAACAATTGTGAGGAGGGCGCAGGACCAGGCAGTGTTTCATTCTGTTGTGCATACGTGTTGCTCTGGGTCACAACTGACTGGATGGCACAACAACAGGTGCTGTGCTTTGTGCCTCGTCTGCATTATCTCAGTCCTTTACAGCGCATAATGAGGTTGGTCTCATTCTACTGTTAAGAAACCTAAGCAGAGTGTTAAGTGAACTGCCCAGAATCACATAGCTGGTAAAAAGCAGAGCCAAGAAGCCAATTTGGGAGTTCTGACTCCTAAATCCCTGCCCTTAGCACAGGGATTTCCTCATCCCCTCCACTCCGAAGCTGAGACAGATTCACAACAGGAGTCACACTCTACACACTGCTATGCAATGTGTTGGTTGATTACTTTGCTCTACTCACAGGTAAGGGTAGTAGGTTTTCCGTCCTTAACTTTTAGCTTGAAATAGGATAGCTCTATCCTGCTCCCATAAGCTGGCAAATGAGCCTCTGCCCTCTGGTAACCACCTCCACAGCCCACCTCCTGACCACTCACCTCAGCCATCTTGCCCTCTGGAACTATGAGACTTTTTCGCTGGAAGTCACTTCCCATTCCTCATGTCATACCTACCCTTCAAACCTAGTCCCACGCACAGGTCCACCAACACGGACCTCAGCATGTCACCAAACCCCTCACTCTGCTTGGCCACTTCTGACCCCTATGGTGGCAAAAGCTTGACCCCTTCACCCCATCCAGCCTGACTCCTGTGCTTGCCTCTTAGGACACGCCTTTCCCTGAGAGCAGTTACCATCCTGTCCCCTTGCCCTTGTACAGGTTCCATCTTAATGAACAAGTCAGCAACAGAAATTCCATCGGATATCTCCAAAATCCCTACACTTGAAAACCCACACCCAATGCTATCACCTCCATATGAATAGAGGAGTGACCGCTTACTGATAAATGTGTCCAAACCACACTACCCTGAGGCTGGCTCGTGTCCCTCACTTTGATCCCAGTATCGAGATGTGTGGCTTTCAGTCGGCGACTGATGCTCTCTTGTCAACAGTTTTTATCGGTCAAACGATGAGTAGAACTCAATAATCCCAGGCTCTTGCAAGAAAACTCTGAAACCCTATGATTTAAAGAAATGACAAGCCTCCGTCAATATTTTTGTCCAATCATTAACCAAACTAATGAGGCTGTTTCTGCAATCCAGCTGCAAAGTTCACTTTCAGGGAGAAGGGGAGGATTCCAGGGCCTGTGGGCACTCCAGGACATTCCTGGTGGATGCAGGAGGCTCCCCCAGTGAAGGAAAGCAGGGAGGCCACCCAGAAACAGGGTGCGCATTGGGATCGGAAGAGCACCTTCGGTGAGTAGAAAGTGGATTGCTGACTGGAGCGCCGACAAAGTCCTCTCCTTGAAAAAAATGTTGTTTTGTTTTGTTTTGTTTTTTTAAGCTTTGGCTCAATGGCGTGTTTTTCTCTGTCTTATGTAATTTTGTGGGATGCGGTGTCGGAAAGTCATAAATCATTCATGGTGCTCTGAAAAA